AACCTGAACCCCCAAGATCTCTCAGACACTGAGCCATCAACCAGGCAACATACACAGGTAAGAAGCCCTCAACACATATACAACAGAGGACTGCCTGGTCTAGCTTCAGTGAGAGAAGGGGTACCTACTTGAGGCCCCAGGGAGTGGGGAGGCCTGGCGGGGTGGGGTGGGGTGGGAGTGGGTGGGGACATCCTCTTGGAGATAGGGAGGAAGAATGGGATGAGGAACAGTAGGAGGGTGGACCAGGAAGGAGATAACAACTGGAATGTAAAAAAAAAAAAAAATTAAAATAATTAAAAAAAAAAAAGACATTGTCTCAGTAGATAAAGGCATTTAGCACCTAGCCTAGTGACTTGACTTTGATCCCTGGGACCAAAGTGCATGAGAAAACCTATTCCCAGAAATTGTTCTCTAACCTCTGCACAAATTTTATATATGTAGACACACACATCAATAAATAAATGAAACTTAGGGTTTTAAAGCTGGATGTAGCAGGGCAAACTTCTGATCCTAGTATTGCTGGGGCAGAGACAGGCAACTCTGTGAGTTCATAGTCAGCCTGATCTAAGTTCCAGGCCAGCCAGGCATACATAGACTCTGTCTCAAACAACAAGATAACTTAATGTCACCAAATATTCCTTAAAGGCATATAGCTGCCTTTTGTGACAAAATCTTACATACAAATTAAGCTATTATGAAATTTTGTTGTAATTTTATCTATTCTATTCAAGTCTACAGGGGATGCTATAAAGCTTTCTAGTTGGTAGAAATATCTTTTGTGTCCCCCAATATTATATATTCAAATTAACTTCATATGAAATTCAGTAACTGGGACTACAGGTGCAAGCCAGTAGCAGAGCGCTTGCCCAGCCGGAGTTCCATTTTAGATATTACAAAACACACAAACAAGCAATAACAAAAAGAATAACTATTATATGTGTTACAATACACAGACAATTTCACAGATATGTTTATTGATGATACACAATTATACATTAATTATAGACTTACTACTTGATGTTTAAATTTTGGAAAATTTCCTGAAATTGATCTTTTCTACTACAACTATTAGCTTTTCAGTCGTACTCTTTCACACAAGGTAGCACTTGGCATCAATATAAAACACAAATAAATAAAACATTTTTAAAATTTGAATTATGTTACCTTCATAATAGTGAGGGATCAGACTGCAAGTTTCTTAACAAACCTTTAAACTTAGAGAAATACATGAGAAAAGACTAATTTCTCCTTTTAAGAGGAACAATACTTCTGATTCAGTATTGTTATGTAAAAGAAGTGTATCTTTAAATATAATAAGCCTGCATTCCTCCCTTTGTTGACATCAAGATAGGAAGTTTTAGTTCTCATTCAAAATGTGGTATTTTCTACCAAATACCAAGCGCACAGACTACTACTGAGTCAACATGGAAATAATCAGAAGTTACAGAATGTAGCCTACATGTGGAAAGTAATTTGAAGTTATAGAATGTAACCTATATAGACTTTATAAAAGTAACCTATATAGACTTTATAAAAGTTTTGTTTGCTTTTATTTTCCATAAAATCTTTTGTGCACTGTGCTTTTATGTTTGTGAAAAGGTCTTACTGTGTAATCCAAGCTGGCCTCAAACTCATGATTCTCCTGCCTCCCGCTCAGTGCTGGTTTTACAAGAGCATACTCTTGTGCAAAACAAACAAATACACACACACTCTAAGGGCCTGGAGATGGCTCATTGGTTAGGAATGCTTGATGACTGCTCTTATAGAGGTCCTGAGTTCAGTTCCCAGCACCCACATGAGGTGGCTCACAACCACTATAACTCTGACTCCAGAGGATCTGCCCTCCCTCTCTTCTGTACTGCACAAGCAACCACACACACATCTCCAAGTAATTAAAAATTTAAAATATCTTTTAAAAAATTCCATCATAAATCTTTTAAAGGATATTAAAGGTTGGATTTTCATGTCTATAATTTCAGCACTTAGAAAGTAGAGGCAGATGCTCTCTGAGTTCAAGGCCAGCCTGATCTACAGAGTGAGTTCCAGGATAGCCAAGGCTACAAAAAGACACCCTGTTTTGAAACAAAAAAAAAAAAAATTAAGGTTGGAGAGATGGCTCAGCAGTTAAGAGCACTTGCTTCTCCTGAAGAAGATCTGGGTTTGGGTCCCAGCACACACATGATTAGCTCACAGCTACCTACAACCCCCAGTTCCAGAGCTACTGACACCCTCTTCTGGCCTCCAGAGGCATCTGGCACACATCTGGGCACTCACATGTATACCTAAAATAAATCTTTAAAAATTTAAAAGAATAAGTTGATATTATTATAGATCTGGAATTTTCTTCCTTTCTACCTTTAACAATCCTCAGTTCCAAGACCATGATATGTTTTGGAAACAGTAAGAAAATATGAAGAGTTCTTAGCGGGATGTAAGAGTTAAAATGAGTTTGAAGTAAGGTTATAAACTAAAGAACATGGTTTATTATCAGACTATACGCAAATAACTCACTTATCATCTGGCAACACTTTTAGAAAACTGATCATCTAGATTAAGTTACACAAAAGTAGCCGGGCAGTGGTGGCGCACACCTTTAATCCCAGCACTTGGGAGGCAGAGGCAGGTGGATTTCTGAGTTTGAGGCCAGCCTGGTCTACAGAGTGAGTTCCAGGACAGCCAAGACTATACAGAGAAACCCTGTCTCGAAAAACCAAAAAAAAACAAAAACAAAAAACAAAACACAAAAGTTACGAGAGATGGGTCTCTGGTTTTGTATATTACAAGGTGACTCATGGCAAAATACTTTGGATTATGAAGAAATGAGATATCTTCTTCCATACTCACTGGTACAAATTCAGGTCGAAGAAATATCACAAAATACAAGTTCTCAAACATAGCATTTTCAATTCACTCTTTTTTGTGTGTGTGTGTGTGGTTTTTCGAGACAGGGTTTCTCTGTGTAGCTCTGGCTGTCCTGGAACTCACTCACTCTGTAGACCAGGCTAGCCTCGAACTCTCGAGCTCAGAAATCTGCCTGCCTCTGCCTCCCAAGTGCTGAGATTAAAGGCGTGCGCCACCACCGCCCAGCTTCAATTCACTCTTTATCTAGGAAATCCAAATAAATCAGACATTTGTTTGTGTCCTTCTCAGGGTCCCTGCAATGACTGGTATGAGTCTATTACCCCATAAGTACACCAACTATCATTTTAAAAGAGGAATATCTGATTTAAATACGATGTGGATCATCCTCTAAATCTGATTTCACTTGGAACTTGACATTTTAATCACTCTAAAAATAGGTACCTCTTGGGGCTAGAGTTACAGCTCTATGTTAGAATGCTTGCCTAGTATGCCAGAGGCCCTAGGTTCAATTCCCAGCACTGGGAGATGGAGGTGGGGGAAATAAAACTCTTCTCCCTTATTTGCTCCCTTAAAATTTGAAATTCTTTCAAATCCATTTCTATCCCTAAAACAACCACTTGAACTAACTCTTGCCAATTTATAATATTTTAAATAAGTTAACTGTTCTAAACTCTCAGAAAGATTAAAACTTATAGATTAATGAAATGAAACATTAATTTTCATGTTTTCAACACTTCAATATTAAAGCTGTATAATCTAATCGCCTATTTATCCAACTCATTCTTTCTAAAATATATACAAATATACAAAGCACTAACATCTTTCAAATAAGCAGAATAAACATGTTTCATATTTATTTAAAAATTATGCTTTTTAAAAAATATGACAGAACTTATTCATTCTCAATAACTGGAAGAGACTGTTCTATGTAAGAAACTGTGATGTACTAGTTTTCAAAGGAAAATAATTCCAAATATGTTGGTTTTACCGGAGGAGAAGAGATCTAAATGTTTGGGTTTGTATATGTATGTGCCTGAGCCTGTGAAATGTCCTTCATTCAACTTTAGAAAAATCAGTATTTCCTTTAGTCAATATAAGCATATAGTGTGCAATAAGACGCATAGAGATGTGCACTTCCAGAATGCTATAATAACCCAGATAGGCCCCCAAAAGTGCTTTAACATTAAGCATAGCAAATCAATGTTAAACAATGTCGATTTTTTCCTTTCTAATCACTCCACAAATCAGGTACACTTTAGCTAAATACTTAATGAGATTAACAAACTAGAGGCTCAAGAGAAAGAGTAGATTTTTAAAAATCAGTTTCCATTTTTGTACAAACAAAAAGATAAAACAAAAGCGAATACGAGGACGCCTTAAATGAAAGCATTTGAAACATCCAACGTGACTGGCTTTTGATTTACCCCAGTCTGACAAGGAAGGCAGACCCCGCCCCCACTCCAGATTGTGTAGCTTTTCTCCCCCTTTCCCATGGATGGGGGTGTAGAGAAGAGAAGCTGTCACATTTCCATCTTCCGTTATTGTTAATCTGCAGCCTAGATTCCCAAGCATCACTGGTGGTGGGGGGGGGGGATTAAAACAGACTATTTAAATTGTCAAAAAGGAAAATATTCTGTTGCTTTTTCCGATGTGAAAGTTAATTACACTCAGATTCAATCTGCTATAACTACAGATTGGCTGTGACAGCCTGTCCCTCAAACACTCCCTCTAAGACCTATTGCTCCCTTTCTCTCTAAACTATATCAGTAAAACGCTTTTAGAAAATTGTTGCATGCAAAAGGAAACATCACATCGTTATAGTGTGGGGTATGGGTGGGGGGGCAGAGAGAGAGAGAGAGAGAGAGAGAGAGAGAGAAAGAGAGAGAGAGAGAGACTGAGACTGAGAGAGACCTATTCGCTCTTCAAACAAAAAGAAAAAGAAATGGGGAAATGGGGCAGCTGGTGGGGGAAAGAGCAGTAGTGGACCTGAAGGAAACCTTGGGAAAAGTTTTTTATGCCACTTTTTCGTCCTTCGGCGGAGATGCAGGAGTTGGGCAGAAAGCCTGGGTTTTGACCCAGGGCTTAGGAAGGCACCTGCAGAAGAGGCAGGGGGCTGAGAGGGGCCGAGCAGCACCTACCGACTTGCAGCACGTTCTCCACGGAGCCGCTGTCCAGCAGACGGATGCCCCGGCGGAACGGCAGCCCCTCGCCGCCGCTGCCGCTCGCCGCTCCAGTCCCAGAGCCCAGCCCGGGGGACGCGCCCGCCCCGGCGGCCCCGGGGGCGGAGCCGGCCGGAGCGGCGGCCCCAGAGGGTGGCGGCGGCCCCTCTTCGACCGGCGAAGCCCCCGCCGCGCCGGCAGCCACACCGGCAGCCGCGCCGGCGCTCGGGCCGCCCCGGTACTGGAAGCTGGAGTACATGCAGATCTCCCGCTCATTCCGCGGGAAGGACCAGTAGACGATGCGGCGCTGCACCGGCTCTGGGATCCGCTCGAAGCGCTCCTCCACCCGCTCGTACGCCCACTTTTCCGCCACCGTCTTGGCGGCGCAGTCCAGCAAGGACTCGGGCTGCAGGTGGGGGCGGGCCCCGGGGGCCAGGCAGCCGCCGCCGCCGACCCCCGCCCCTCCGCCGGCTGCCCCGGGAGTCCCGCGGGGGTGGTGAGCTTGCGGGCTGGGCCAAGAGCACAGCCTCTTGGCCGGAGAGATCGGCGGCGGCGAAAGCAGCTCCTCTCGCTCACCTCCTTCCGCCATTGCTGGGGACTGACTGACTGACTGACTGACTGAGGCGGAGGCGGCTGCTCGGGCTGCGGCGGAGACCCCGGCCACGGCCACGCGCCCCGCGCAAGCGCCCAGCGGCGGCGCTGTGGGGAGGGGGCGGGGCGAACGAACCCACGAGCCCGCCGGCCCGAGTGGGAAGCCGGGGCCCGTCCCGTGCTCGCGCCGCTCCGGCCAGCGCTGGTTGGCCTGAGGACCAGCGCGAGGCGACGCGCGCCGTCCGGGCTGCCGCGGGCGCGAGGAGACGCGGGGGCGAGCGCAGGCTGCGGGCGCGCTCCGGGCGCAGCCAGCCCGGAACCCAAGCCGTGCGCTCGCGCGGGGCCGCGGGCCGCCAAGGACGAGGAGCGCCCCGCACCAGGTGCCTCCAGCGCACCTGCCGGCGGCCCGGACAGGACGGCCGCGTGGCCAACTGAAAAGACTCGGCCGCCAGCCGTCACCATGAGGTAACAGGCTTGGGGGGCATGAGGAGAGGAAACAACTCCAATGAGGTTCTTGATGCAGACAGAATTGACAGGCGACTGTCGCAGCCCAAGGGGCACCAACCAAGCAGAAAGGTAGAAGGAAGCCACCGGGTGGGTAGAGGGTGGAATCGGAAAGTTCGCGGGATGAGAACTCTCCCCGTGTCACATTATAGGATGGCATCGGCGTCCCCGCCGGCTCAGAAACTGGCTAAGTCCATCAGCCAGTCCGAACAATGGGGCGCCCGGATCTCACCGCTGAGGCAGCAGCACCCTCGTGTTTTTTTGAGGGGTTTAGCACCTTGCATCCTACGAGAATAAAACAAACCAAAAAAAACAACACTTTTGTGTAGTTTTTGATAGAATTCTCTGATCCCTTACCTAGGATTCAAATTAGGATCTTCATGTTTTTCTTGTCTACTATTCGTTCCCCTTAATTTACTTACATAAAATTTAATGCGTTTTTTGTTATTTGGTGTGTAACTGCCTAACTCCATAACAGTGAAGGTCATGTTCACTTTTTCACTGTGGTGTCTCCTCCTCACCCAGGTACATTAATGGGTGCTCAAGAATGACAACTTCAACAGTAACTTCTTCATAACACGGAGTTATGACTGCCTTTTACTCAGATTGTAGAATTTGCTGACAAAGTAATCACTACAACTTTTTAAAAGTTCCAGGAACTGTATTAGAAGACAGCCAATAGCTGAGTTCAGCTAGAGAGAGTAGTACAAAGAACGAATAAGAGAAGGTAGACTGCAGCCAAAGTAGTTTGGTTTTGCTGTAATCTCAAAAAAAAAAAAAGAGCTCAGGCTATAACCTAGGCATGAATCGTCATGGGGTGCTAATCACGACTCAACTGATCTGTAAAAGGGAGCTGGCATCATTGTCTGTGCATATAGCATATAAGAATTAAAAATGAGGTCAACTGCTTCTTTCATAAATAGTTGATATTATTTCTGCAAGTATAATTGAATTATTATGAAGTATCAATCTCTACTCAAATGCCTCTCCTTGAATCTCTTACCACAGTTATGGGCTTTCATAACCTCCATTCTTTTCAGAATTGTGTGTGTGTGTGTGTGTATGTGTGTGCGCGCGTGTGCTCACCTGTGTGTGTCTTCTTTTAATGTCAGTCTCCTTGACTTTACTAATAGATTTGTAAGAACAGAAACCATTTCTAAGTAAGGAATGATTATCACCTGCCATACTTCTTAAAAAAATGAAAGCTGCTTGAAGAATATTGCATTTTTAAAATAGAAAGGAAAATGATGATAGACAATAGAGAAAAAGGGACATTTGATTTTGAGTCAGCCAATGTGTTACTTTGATTTAATCAGTTGTTGACAAGCATAATTAAAAGACCATGAGACAGGAAAAAAAATGTTATTTAAACATAGTAACAATAGTCGGGCAGTGGTGGTGCACCTCTGTAATCCTAGCACTTGGGAGGCAGAGGCAGGTGGATTTCTGAGTTCGAGGCCAGCCTGGTCTACAGAGTGAGTTCCAGGACAGCCAGGGCTATACAGAGAAACCCTGTCTCGAAGAAAAAAAAAAAATAGTAACAGTAAAGTTTGAATCAAGCAAAAAATTTTTGAGGACACTGAAAAGTAAAAGAATAGCATATCTACAGTCATAGGCCCATCACTCAGAATTAATCATTATTATTTACCATATCTAAAGTCCACATCGACCATCTCTGTATAATCTCAGAAACAACTGTAAATTTTATTTAGAGTCTATTTCCAAATTGTATATTTTTGTATACTTTTTTGTATATATTTTGTATGTTTTGTATATTTGTGTTTAATTAAATGGTTTGACTCCATACTCCCCTCCTGTTATTTTTGTTTCTTCCTATGCATAATAAAAATCCTCAGGCATTCCCAGGTACCATAAAACAGTCTGTTTTAAGAATATATCACGTTTTGAGGCTGTGAAGATGACTCAGACTCTGATCAAGGGACTGCATCATAAGTATGAGTAGAACAATTGCTCAGTGATGAAGAGAGTTTACTCAAGGGTACACATGGAGGGACCCATGGCTCCAACCACATATGTAGCAGAGGATGACCTTGTCGGGCATCAATGGGAAGAGAGGCCCTTGGTCCTGTGAAGGCTCGATGTCCCAGTGTAGGGGAATGCTAGAGCAGGGAGGTGAGAGTGGGTGGGTGGGAAAACTCTCATAGAAGCAGAGGGAGTGGGTATGAGTTTGGGGTTTGGGGGAAGGGGAACCGGGAAAGGGGATAACATTTGAAATGTAAATAAACAAAATATCCAATAAAAAATTATTTTTAAAAAAGACAGAATGGCTGGGTGGTGGTGGCGCACGCTTTTAATCCCAGCGCTTGGGAGGCAGAGGCAGTCGGATTTCTGAGTTCGAGGCCAGCCTGGTCTACAGAGTAAGTTCCAGGACAGCCAGGGCTATACAGAGAAACCCTATCTTGAAAAACCAAAAATAAAAAAAATAAAAAAAAAAAAAGACAGAATGGACCGTTCTAAAGGACAAAAGAGAGAGAGGGAATCTACTCATGCAGAATGCCTGTATTTGGTTCCCAGCACCCATATGACAGCTCATAGCCTTCTATAACTACAGTTTCAAGAGGGTTTGATACCCTCTTCTGATCTACTGGGGCACCAGGCATGCAGGTAAAATATCCATAAACGCAGGGCAGTGGTGGCACACGCCTTTAATCCCAGCACTTGGGAGGCAGAGGCAGGCAGATTTCTGAGCCTGGTCTACAGAGTGAGTTCCAGGACAGCCAGAGCTACACAGAGAAACCCTGTCTCCAAAACAAAACAAAAATGCATAAACATAAAAACATTAAAAATGAGCAAATTTTTAGATTCCCAGCATGCCACATAAAATCCCAGGTCCCTGTAACCTCGGTGCTCAAGAGGCCTGAGACAGGTAGCTCCTCAGAACTCACTAGCTAGCCAGCCTAGCCAAACCTGAGACAGGTGGCTCCTCAGAACTCACTAGCTAGCCAGCCTAGCCAAACCAATGAGCTCAGGATTCAATAAAAGACTCTATCTCAGAAATTAAGATGGAGAACAATCAAGCAAGACCGCGAACACACGCACACTCGCACACACACACCAATAACCTCTGGCCTCCACATTCAGGTGCAAACAAACACACAACACTTCATCATATTTTAGGGCCAGATTTTGCCTAGTGAGACAGCTCAGCGTGTAAAGGTACTTGCCTGGAAATCTGAGTTCGATGCCCATGATCAACATGGCAGAGAAGAGAACAGACTGCCAAAAGATGTCCTCTGACTTCCACTTGTACTTTGTGGCATGTGCACTCTCCCACACAAATCATAAAACTTTTGTTTTTAAGGAATATTTTGAGCATAGTACAGTGGTTGATGCCTGAGGCTAGATGGGTCACCATTTCAAGTTCATTTGTAGCCTGAACTGTGTAAGGGATATCCTATCTCCAAAAAGAATAAATGGATTTCTCACAGTTTTTAAAGTATAATGCAACTACTTGTTAGCTATAAACACCTGAAAGAAGTGACTTAGACCCAAAATGTGTCAGCTTTCTGATTTGTAAAGTAGAGTTAAGAGTGCTTATCTAGCCTTTAATCTCAGCACTGGGGAGGCAGAAGCAGGTGGATCTCTGTGAGTTTAGGCCATCCTGGGCTACAGAGTCCTGAGCTCCAGGATAGCCAGGGCTACACAAAGAAACCCTGTCTTGACAAAAAAACAAAAAACAAAACAAAAATTATCCAATAAAGTTGGTTTATAATTAATATATATGGATTGTATAGAATAATGCCTACTACATGCTTACGTAATACATGTTAGCTGTTTGTGTATTTATTTTATTAATGGTAGACATCACATTAATGTTTCCTTTTTTTCTTTTTTTCAAACATCATTTCCATGAGTATTCATTTCTGGGTTTTCTTACATACATATATTCTAAAATCTCTCCTGAGAATGTAGCTAGAATAGAATTTAATCATAAAATATAAATATTTTTCCTTATAGTAAATGCTGACAATTTGTAGCTAGCACTAAAATTACTCCAAAATTTAGAGGTATCAAATAACACTAATTTATTATTTCTCACAGTTCTTGTGAGTGAAGGCATCTGGAAGAAGCTACTTGGTTCTGGCTCATGAAACTGGCATCAGATATTGGCTGAGGACAGCTTATCTGGATATTTATGTGACTGGTTTCTAATAAAAAGAATTAGAAGTAGGGTAGATGCTACAATACCTTTATGACCAAGCCTCAGAAGTCACATGCCATCACTTCTACTGTACCTAGCCTGTCAGTCCAGCCCTACTTCAATGTTGGAGAAGACTACACCAGAGGAGGGAGAAATTAAGGGGACATATTGGATGTTGCCTGCCTCATCCATCTCTCACTGGCACTTCTCAGGCCTACTATTTTTTTTTTTTTAAGATATTAAGAATGAGTCTACGGCCATACCACCCTGAACACTCCCGATCTCGTCTGATCTCGTAAGATAAGCAGGATCGGGCCTGGTTAGTACTTGGA